GCGAGATCTGGTGAACATAACCCTATTCACCGCCGCGTGAAAAATATAGGATTTCTTTAATAAATAAATGTTTTTTCGCCAACAAACAAAAATTTTGATTACTTTTCGGTTTACCTAATACGTTACTTATGGCAAATGTTACAGTAACACTTGTTAAAAATCAGAATAAACGTCTCTCATCGTTACTTTTCTAATGTAATAGAAAACAGCTGTTTTTTCTGCTCCGTAAATCTAGCGTTAATACCTAAAAAATCCACTTCGGAAGAAGAATATACACCTTCGAAAAGAAATCTGCAGTAGTGTGCGCTGTCGACTGTGACGCAAGTGGCCAGAAATGTTGCAAATTGCGAAGTAAATAAATAAATGGGTGGAATAGAATTTTCCGGATACGAGTCGAGGGTGTCGTGAAATATCCCTGATCCGCCGGCGCGGCGTTTCTCTGAACAGGTATTGCGGGAAACGTGCTAACAAGGATGACGGTCAGTCCGAACCCTGGGACGGTTTCCACGCTAATACACTCTCCTGTCGCTGAGCGCAAGTGATATAACGACGGGGACGACAAAGAAGAAGCGACTCACCCTCGGTGCCTTCCATTTTCCAGCGTTTCCCCCGATCTTCTGCCTGGTTACAGGCGTATCCCTGCGCGGCTTTTGCCCTCCCCTCGATCTCGACAGAATGTATGGTACGCTCGCTCGCGGAGTTTAACCGCCATTTTTCTCGTGATAAATGAAATTGTTCCGCACTGGGCGAGCGTGGCGCTTGTCACTGGGAACGTCTCTCCAGCGTGCATTCTCTGGCCGGGTCGAAAAAAATTTTCGTACTATCGACTAAATGGAGTTTGCGATCGGCTGGTTTCGCATACGGGCAACAAGCGATAAATATTGCGTTATGCTTCTCCACGGTGTCCGCGAATTTTGACAATCGGCGAAACGTTTGCCAAAATACGCTCTCCAAACTGTGAAGCGTTTTTAGTCGTGTGCTTTACTTAATCACTGCTTCGTAAATATGTTTTTTTTAGAAACGTGACATTCGTCATCGTATTTTTCTCCTATTCTTGCGTTACATTTACGTTTGATAATCAGTTGTTCTATCCGGTCCAGATTCTGTAATATTTAACGAATCTGTGCATCTATTCGTCGAGAGTAATACTTTCTTTGAGATCTGCATTTTTAATCTCTTTTTTTTTGTGAATTATTCGACAAAATTTGTTTTTCATTTTTTTGTTCCGTAATTAAATTATTTATTGTATTATTTATCGCATTAGATGATTTATAAGTGTAACTTAAAAGTGTAACTTGTTTAATTACTATGACAAATAAAAGACTATTCGATAAAAAGACTATAAACAAAAATAGAAAGACTATAAATAAATAAAAGACTATATGTCAACATTCTCTTGCAGTAGTATCCGATCGAATGTAATAAATAAAAACTCGGTCGAAATTAATAGTACTTCATACAACGTTAAAAGAAAAAAAATATTACACTTAAGCATAAAAAAAAATGAATCGTCTGCCATAATTACGTATTAACTGATCGCAGTATCAAATTACGTGTAATTAAATATGCATAATATAATTACAAAATAAACATAACTTTACTATAAAATGATTCATAATGTTTCAGATAACGGTGTAATGTCTCGTTCAATACGTGTCCCATTCATGGTGTTGTCATGTCAGTTGTCCTCTACAATTTTGTGCGCTTTTCTTTCCTATGATGTCTTAAACGCAGTATAAAAATCTGTGTTCCGCTCGAAAGATAACAGAGATTTAAATTGATACATTTAATGCGATACGTTCCTATATCGATCCTCCGCTGAAGATTATTAACAGCGCTCCAAGACTCTGGAATTTTACTAGATTCGAAACTTACAGGAACAATATATTCCAAGAAATTACTTACTAATCACGAATTAATGAACTCCGTAAAAGACCGGCTTCAACGACGGAGGGAAACTTTACTCGTTACACTTTTTTACGCTTTTTAAGCACGGCGGCAACTTAAACTTGACAGAACGGAGTTTATAAATATCACGATATGCGAAACGTAATGTAGAAAGTTCCGCCACCAATACTATTCATTCAGCCTTCGGAACGAACTTTCGTAACAGTTCTTCACGAGATACTCATCTGTCCTCATTTTTTTAAATACAATACGGTCGATCTAAATTTCCATGGCAATTCGCATTGGAATTTCGACAAATTTGTAAATGCAGGTACGGAAATCAATTTGTATTGGGTGTTAGTTTATGAAAGTAACAATTTAAGGTGACACTACAGTGAATTCTTTCGTATTACAAGTCTGAACAAGAATATTAGTATAATACTGTGGAATATGCAACTTTTGTTATACATCTTTAACATTTCTACATCGAGTTTCATCTTTTCCTCATTTACTAATTTATAAATAAGATTGAGATAACGTAAGATTGAGAATTTGGACAATACCGAACTGCTTCGAACTATTTAGAACTTCGTGAATGCTTTGCCAACGAATTTTGTTAAAATCTATTGGGTTTGCAATGAAAAATTAACAACTGATTGATCAATAATGTATTCTCCCTCTGTCGTATGCTTTAAGTGACAACACTAAAAATCAACGAGCTTCGTTGGATGAATTTTTCGAGTCGAAACCAGGTGATTTCTACCAACGAGGTATTGAAAATCTTGTTGAACGTTGGACAAAAGTTGCAACCAAAACAAGGGAGAATACACTATTGATTAATCAGTTGATAATCTTCATAAAAAAATAAGCTTTTAAAGAATTTATTAAAGCAAAATGATTGATTAAAAGCAAAAAGAAGAAGAAGGTGTCGAAAATGTTCATTTTTCTCAATTTGAAATTCCATTTCAATGATCTAAAAATTAACATAAATGAACTCGAACAAAAGAACAAAACAACGATTCCGGTAGAACGAAACATCCTCTTTCGAACGATTCGAAACATTATGCCAAAAACATTTAATCATACGCGGAATGTTAAAATTTAAAAGAAAAAAACAGCGAGAACTATGTCGCCAACCGAATATTTCGTTATTCCGAAATCAATTCTTGAAACTAGCTGCAATAAAGAACGATGTAAGAATCACTGAAAAGACCCCAAAGGAAAGTTCATTCTTAGGACTTCGGCCATGTCTGACGATTTGGGAGCAACATGGGTGGGTTCGAAGTTACGGCAAAAGTGTCAGCGCTTCGTGGCTCAAGATGGAAATCCGTGTGGGAGCGGGGCTGTTGCGATTGGTCGGGTGTACGCAGGTAGCACGGCGTGCTGTGATCGATGAGATCCTTGGGAGCGATCGGTCCTCGGGCGTCCTGTGAACGATCGTTGATTTCGGCTGACAACGCCGACAAACACGTCACCACGGGCAGATAAGAGGCAATGCCGGCGCGTGGGTTGGCGAGTAGCTCGTTAAAACATGATAACTCCATCTACATGTAAATCTAATAGAGTAGACAGCGCCACGAGGACATCAAACCACCGTTAACCACCATCTACACCGCCAACCGGCAAGACGAGGCGCGGCGGCGGGCACCTTAAGCTACCTAGGAAAGCCACGACCTTAACCGTCAGCGCGTACGTCACCGCTAAATTCTCCTGTAATAAGATCTAATCCCGAAGGATGTCTGCGTACCCCGCCCAGAGTACCTTGCCAGTGCCTGTGACAAGACTTCTGCCACGCCGCGGCGCGCCGCGTCGCGCCGGCGTGAAAGCCGACCGTTTCGCTTAGAACGAATGCGGTTAATTATGTCTACTCGTACATACGTGCATAGATGGCTTAATAGGATTTCGCGGAACCTCGTGGTTTGCAGATCTCATCCGAGACGCCCGGGAGACTTTGTCGATCGCGCTCCAACTCTTTTGACGATAATTGGATAGCTGCTTTGAACCCGAATTTAACGTTTACTCGTTATTACGCCTACGACTTTTTTGCTAATTCATACAGTGTCCACGAAACGGACACCTTTTAAAACAGCTCGAATTTTTCTTTTAGATAGTAGAAGATAACTGAAATGATTTTTTTCTTTCATTTTGCTATTATTTGGAATGACAAATAAGTACAAATCTCTCGTTTCTTAACTTTTACATATATATGTACATATATAATCTCTCGTTTTTTAATATATATGTAAAAGTTAAAAAACGAGAGATTTGTACTTATTTGTCATTCCAAATAATAGCAAAATAAAAGAAAAAAGTCATTTCAGTTATCTTCTACTATCTAAAAGAGAGAAATTTGAGCTAGTTCTGTTTTAAAAGGTGTCCGTCTATATATATAATAATTATATAATATAATATATTATAGTTATTATTATAATATATTAATTATTATATATATATATATAACGGAAATTTAAAAAATGTCTCTCGTAGGACTCGGTAACTTATATGCATGTTGAACATTTTATCGAAATCGATTCACGTTGGTGTGAGTTACAACAAATTAAAGATCGCAAAAATTGGCTCAGACAAAAAGGTTAAAAACGAGGGTGTTTTATTTTTTCTTTTCATTCCAAGTAACAGCAAAATTAAGAGAAAGCTTTTTGGTCATCGTCTAGTGACCATAATGACGTCATGGTCTATCCCTCTACCATCTGAAAAGAATTCAAGTCATTCAGTTCAGTTTTAAAAAGTGTACGAACAATTTTGTGGGCCACTGTATTTCTGTGGCTCTAAGGAAAACATCAAAAAATTCACGTTTATGCATTAATCGAGCTGTTCGATAGAGAATTTATGTATTCAGCAGAAAAGCATGGATTAAAATTCGACAGACTTAAAAAAATATAGAAACAAGGAGAAAACTTTAATACGCGATGAATTTTTTATACGAGAAATTTTAATAAATGTTTCTTTTTTATCGCAAACTGGGTTTTATCGTGCAGCAATTTTGATCATTGTGTTTATAATAACAATGTGTGTAGAATACACATGTGTGGTTATTTTCTCACCGCATTTCCCCATGAGATGTATTATAAATGTTGTATTGTTTTATTTTCTAGTTCCCATCGTCGATGTCAGTGGGGTGCAAGGCGACAAGACCGACCTTCCTTGTGACATTCGTACTGCCGACAACGACGGTGTCAGCATAGTATTATGGTACAAAGGTGGCAACGAGGAACCAATTTACACGTAAGCAGTTCAGCTTTAACCCGAGAAAGATAACCTACGTCGCAGAGGCGCCTGCGAAGACTGTTGATTTTTGTTAATTTTTCATAGAGGTCTAGTGATTTAAGTTTAAAATTACTTAAAATATAAAAAAATATAATATAAATGCATTTTATTTTTACAATAATGCCAAACCTTTAAAATGACTAGATTAACTTAAATAAATATCCATTGTTAGTATAAAATTGACGCCTTAGAAACTGTCTCTTATACACATCTAGATGTGTATAAGAGACAGATATAATATAAATGCATTTTATTTTTACAATAATGCCAAACCTTTAAAATGACTAGATTAACTTAAATAAATATCCATTGTTAGTATAAAATTGACGCCTTAGAAAAGCATGCGCCTCTGAAGCGTATGGTTATCTTTTACGTACGTTGTCATATGGTTATCTTTCTCGGGTTAATAAACACTATGAAGATCACAAACACCTGTCTCTTATACACATCTAGATGTGTATAAGAGACAGATATAATATAAATGCATTTTATTTTTACAATAATGCCAAACCTTTAAAATGACTAGATTAACTTAAATAAATATCCATTGTTAGTATAAAATTGACGCCTTAGAAAAGCATGCGCCTCTGAAGCGTATGGTTATCTTTTACGTACGTTGTCATATGGTTATCTTTCTCGGGTTAATAAACACTATGAAGATCACAAACACCTGTCTCTTATACACATCTAGATGTGTATAAGAGACAGATATAATATAAATGCATTTTATTTTTACAATAATGCCAAACCTTTAAAATGACTAGATTAACTTAAATAAATATCCATTGTTAGTATAAAATTGACGCCTTAGAAAAGCATGCGCCTCTGAAGCGTATGGTTATCTTTTACGTACGTTGTCATATGGTTATCTTTCTCGGGTTAATAAACACTATGAAGATCACAAACACCTGTCTCTTATACACATCTAGATGTGTATAAGAGACAGATATAATATAAATGCATTTTATTTTTACAATAATGCCAAACCTTTAAAATGACTAGATTAACTTAAATAAATATCCATTGTTAGTATAAAATTGACGCCTTAGAAAAGCATGCGCCTCTGAAGCGTATGGTTATCTTTTACGTACGTTGTCATATGGTTATCTTTCTCGGGTTAATAAACACTATGAAGATCACAAACACAGAGTAAATGAAAGAGATCTTTTTTGACGATTATTTGGTGAATCATGGAGTTCTGTCCGGGTTCAACAGCCATGTTTAATACCCAACCTATCGGATCGATCAAAATGACCTGTTTCATATATTTGATTTTAAAGTTGTTGAAATAATAATGACACTCCCGCAGAAAATAATTGACGACATTTCTTGATCGATATAGACATTCCAATAAAAGTAGCGAACTGGCGAAATAAATACAGCTTTTTCCTTGTTATAAATAAACAAATTGATGTGTATCATTTGACCACAATAATATGCTGTATAGTGTATGACGGAACAAAGTGGAGTGACGTAACATCGATTTTTTTATTTTTGAGTATAGAATCTTAATTTTGAAACGAGGCAGTACTATCTAGTAATTCGTACAGATCCATAATTACGAACAATCATTTGTACGCCTCAATCATTTCTTTTTTTTACACAATTTGGCGTTTACGTTCATAGCAGAGTTGTCCATTAAAGTTTATTTAGATATTGATTTATTACTACCTATTTTTGGCAAACACGTTCGCATTTCGTGTCCCGGTTCCCAAACTCAATAACGATCGACGTGTCATAAAGCTCAAGATGTGTCACAGCTGTCAACGAGTCTGCGAAGTCCGCGGTCCTCATTTTCACCCCTACAAACTGCACGATGGGCGATTGCGACTGATTTGTAAAGTGATTGCCGACGATAGGCGGGACGATTATCGATTTGTCAGCCGTGTAACCTGTCAGAATATTTTCACGGACGTAGTAAGAAACATGCAGAGCATGGACCAAAAATGCCAATAAAACCGAAGGAACCCGGTAAAATAGAAAAGGACAAGGTGTGCACTCATGAGATGGTTCAATGTTTAATCCGAGTGCGCGCGCAATGTGGCGAAAATTACCTCATAGGTTTTTATAACACTGTCACATGAAAGTCGATAGTCACAGCCTTTGCCCGTTGCAACACTTTTCGGGGAATACGTTTGAAATTTTTTTAATTGTTAGATAATCAATTGTATCCAATTATAATATTTTAGAATTTGTTTACAAAATTGTAAATTTGCCACCGACGTCTGTCTAATTATTACAATCGAGCAACAAATAACTTTTGCTAGCGAAAAGAGTACTAAATTATTTCCTCAATTATTACTAATTCCTTTAAAAAAGTTTAAACTAGGCAACCAATAATTTCTGATGCGTAAACTAATAACTTTACTACTTTCGTCAAATGACTAGAACGTTATAATTTCTTCCATTTCTTCCGTTACAATTATTTCCACCTCTAGCTTCCACTGAAAATAAATAATAGAAACAAGCTCGAAAAATTACAATTTTAATAAAACCGTAAGAAACTCGCAAAATAGGTTCGAAGCCGTTGTTAACGCTTCCAGAAGGGCTAATTGAAACGCAAATCTCGCAGATTCTTGAAAAAGTGTATTATGAACCGCGTTAACGGCATTGTCTAATGTGCAAGCGGTTGCTAAATTATTTCCACCTCGTGCAAATTGCATCGGAGGCTAACAAGCTCAATGATTTCAAGTACTAATACCAGTGGACCGATCCGAAGAGGTGTACGCGTCGAAGTAAATTCCCTGCCATCGTCTTGCGCGCGCAATAATCCCCAGTCATCTACATCCCCTGAATTCATCAGATCCCCAGGAAACGAGCCTCGGTACAAAGGCAACGTACTTTGCCAGCCACCATCTAAAACTCCCGCGAAACCCGATAATCCAGGAATATAAATTACTTGGAGGAAATAAAAAGTCGAACGTAGGTGCAGGCGGCGCCGTGGGCGACGGGGATCGTCCAGAAATTTCTCGCGTTATTTTCCGCGGTGATCTTCATATGCCTCCTGACTCGCCGATTCGCTTCCGCGGCCCGTGAAATTTTGCATATAGAATGGTGCCCGCCCCCCGGACTACCCCTTGTCCACCGTTTCTGAGAAGAAGCGCCACCCCGTGCTGGTGGGGGGGTTGCCGAATGACGGAGGGAGGTCGTCCCTGGTAGTCGACCGGTCTGGTCATATTTAAGAAATGTAATAAAGTGTAAGATATGTTCAGGGGGGTGGCGATGCATCGTCCTGGGATCCCAACCTCCGCTCACATCCCTTAGCCGCGCTAGTACACAGACAGGGTGAATCACATGACCGGAGCGTATAAATTGTCTACTACTGAAAAGTAGTTTAATCCACGACCCAAGAGGCGAGACCTGGAACTTAATGGCGGATTGAAACATTCTGTACTATAGGGTGTTCCAAAATTATGATATTTCCGAGAAATGAGGGGTTCCTTGGGTCATTCGAAGTAACTTTTTCCTTAGCGAAAATGCAATCCGCGGCATTGTTTACGAGTTATTAACGAAAAACGGTGACCAATGAGAGGCGAGATCAACCTCTGGCGCGCCATTGACGCGAGACAGCCGAGCCAATCAACGGAACTGGGCTCCGCCCGCTCGTTGGCACGACCGCCTCGCGCCAGCCGAGCTCGTCTCTTATTGATCATTGTTTTTCGAAGTTTATTTCATAATAATAAAAAAAAATAATACAGAATTTCAAACAGAATAAATCCTACATTATGAAACTTCTCATTCTCAAACATCCACGTTTTCAAAGTTCATGTATTTTAAAGCGCTCTCCGAAAGTCAATGCTGCAACACAATAACCATAAACATTTCACGATTCTGCACGATCCTGCAAGCTTCTCGAAGCTAATAGCGTAAAATGAAACCATACACTCCGGGAAAGTACGCTGCTCGCTGTTATCACTGGCTACCGTTATGCTTGATAAACGAGAATAATGTTTCGACTAATCCAACAAAACGAAACACGGTTCTGGCCCCGAGCAGACACGAGCGGGCGATAAGAACGAGAATGTTTTGTACGTAAATTTCCTCTCTGTACATCATAAAACTTTAAACGAATTATGATATTATAATTTTGGATCCCCCCCACCCCTCCCCCGACGTAGACTGGGTTTGCCGAGATGTTAACATTTTTAAAGTCGCCCTCTCGGCTCTCCTCCCAGCGGCCTCACTTCCACTTAATCTGATTTGTAATCTCATTACGTCGATTTATTCGGCCACTTGAACGTTTCGCTCTAACCAGTCTCCGCTCATTCAATTCTCTTGATTACAAGCTCGTCTCCTTCATTTCCTTGCACGAGCCATCTTCCTTCGTCTTTTTCTCGTCCTACCACCGCGCCCGGCTTCTTATCTGCGCTTTTCCCCTCGACTCCCACGGCTCCGACCTTCTTATGAAATTTTCTGTAATATTTTCGTTACTTCTAAATAGCACCCCTCGATTGCTCTTAAGGGACATCGTTCCGCAGAATTGAATCCGTCCAATTCCGCTCGCCGTTCTCTCATTTAAATCGCATGCATTATCCGAACACTCGGACTCGCTCCACCGTCGACGGGTTAATAGCTTTTTATCTTAAACGGTCAAAAATTAAAGAGTGCAGGATGTTTCCGAATAGAAATCGATCGGAGCGGCGCTCGAGATCGCGCACTTTGAACAACGGGTCTGTCCCCTTCGAATTCCGATATCTAATTAATTTTAGAGGCGTTTAATAGATTGGACTCTAATGCATTGAGTTTCGCTGATGAATTTCAACTCGCTTCAATGTGAATCGTAATTGGTAGATCTCTTTGCGAGATATTATTTCGCGAGCATTTAGTTGATACTTTGCTCCTTGGCAATTTACCGTCAACTTTTGCCGGACACATAAAATCTACGTAGACTCTCATTTCGTTGCAGGTTGTTCTTAAATGACAGAAAATATAAAATCGAATAATTATTTCGCTTGAGAATAAAATTCCGCGTGGAAACACGTTCCAGTGTCTGGACTCGAAATTAATTCGTTAAAAGTAATCACGTTTTCAAGTATAATAAGAAGGCACAGTCAGCCAGGATGTACCGAAAATAAATTAGCCTGAACGGGAAAGACGGACCTCATTAGTAAACTGCGGACGTTTATGCAAATCCAGCGAAATTATACGATTTCGGTCGCTAATTCGTAGAAAAGAAAATTATTTAAATTTTCTTATTTAAATTTATGATAAACTCGACCGTACCCTGATTTCCTGCACGCCGATACATTCCTCCTGCCGTTCCCATTAGAAAATTGATTCAATCGCAAAATTGTCTTCCACTGCTCGGGGCTTGAACGCGAACCAATCGTTGGCAAGCTTCGACTTCTTTAAGAATGTACAGTCCAGATTGAAGTTAAGCAAATGACTATTTGCTTAATCGAGCGAGCGCTCGTTGGAAGTTCCGCAGCTATTTCAGAACCAGTCAGCATCAACATCCGAGGGTAGAGGTCATTTCACTGTAACCAAACATTCGAGTGTACGTACCAATCAAATTGCACGGTACATTGCACCCGAACTGTTCTACACATATTTCTTTACGTGTTGGTTGTAATACTTGTGCATTGGTTTGGTTGGTGCAATGATAGTGATTGCATTTTTCCTTTTTGTGTTTGGAAATAACTTTTTTTTTTAGTAAATTCTATTGCTTATCAAGCATAGAAAACTTGTTTTAAGACAAATTTATTTGAAAAATTATCGTTGGAATTTATTTTGAAACGCGAAATCAGATAACTCGTTAAGAGAAAGGCATTTCAGTGATCGTCTAGTAGACTAGTCTCTCTATCACCTAAAAAAAAAGAAATCAAGTCACTTAATTGAATTTTAAGAAAGCTATTACGTTTTAGAAGATATTCGAACACTTTTGTGGACCACAAAAAAAATCTATAATATCATGATACACAATTTGCAAGCCAATAATTAATGTTTAGCTCAACCTGTATTATTACAAGCTGATCATTGAATTCGTCAGAAAATCGTAACGGAAGGCAATATAAAACGAAAACTACACCTACAAGAAAGCTATATTCGTACAAAAATTCTGCAATATCTCAAACATATCTCCTTGACATTTTCAAAGTGAACCGGAGTTATCATCGATATATCAATCAGAAATCATTCCGGTAAGCAGCGCAGCGCAGCACGGACGCCGAAAGAATCGCGGAACGCTCACCTGCGATCGAGTCTAATAAAAACGGCAGCCCCGTGAATCACTTTTATTTCCATGCGCTCTCTCGACCGCGTTCAAGCTGCGATTCTTCTTTCGGCGAAATCTCGGCGAATGAGATAGTTGATCGACGAGGCACGCGGGCCGCTTCGACCGGTCGATCTCGAGATTCGGGTGGCGAACCGGAGCCTGGAGTCGGATCCGGAAGACCGATACCCTGAAAATCGTTTCGCAACGTTATCGTTCGTTGAAAGCCGGTCGAACGGACGCGTTATATCTACGGATCGCTTTAGCCGACGGGAAAGCTCGCGATTTTCTGCCTCGGAGGGGGACGGGCGGGGGTGGCGCGGAGGGTGGAAGAGAGGCGCGATAGAGGGTGGGCAGGAGAGGGATGGCAGAAGGGACCGTATATGGCAGTATGTATAGAAGGCGGTTGCAGCTGTGTGACGAGCGGCCCAAAGGGTGGCTAGCTCCCAGCTAGGCAGCCATACGGACGTCCGGACGGCAGCGGCACGTCACGGAAGCGCTTTCCTCGTCTGCTGGAAGTGCGAAGTGGAAGAATTAAATCGTATTTCAACGTCAATGCCGCGGAAGCAGGCAGCAGAGTGGGATAGCTTTGGGAATACTCAGTCACGAGCGGAAATCCGAACTCTCGTGCAGTCGTGGAACGCAATTTAACTTTTAGTCGCTCGTGAGGAACCGTCGGCTTCCATACTCAGTCTCCTACGGGTTCTCTCTTCTTTCACGTTACCTATTCCTCTCCCCCTCCCTTCTATCCTCTCTTCCCAGCGCCTTGATAACCCTTTGGCTTTACCACTCTGTCCTCCTTCTATTCCCGCAAGACATCCGTCTCGTTCTACCCGCGAGAACCTTCTGTTTCCCGTTCGCCGGTCCTCGGATGCTTAATATGCAATCACGCGTGGTGCATGGCTCCCCCGGTGACACCCGATACATGTATGTCCTCTCTCTTTCTCTCTCTTTTCCTTTCTCTTCCTCTGGCTCCCCGTCTCTCTTCCTCTCCGCAACCGTTCCATTGTGCCCTGTCGGATTACAACAAGTCGGCCATGCTTCTTCCCGCGCAGATCTATCGCGTGGCGTGATTAAAAGCCTTATGTCACGCGTGCCGGGGTTCCGCATCGACGACATCAAGGACTAGTCGATGGGATATTATATGAGACCTAGTAATGGGATCGTGGATCCGATACGAACTCATGAATACCAATCGATCTACTATACGTACAATTATTTGCATAAGGTTTGAGGGGAATTAGAAGAATACCTGTTTCGTTCTCTGCGCTGATGTCACCGCATGCGTTGTTCCCGATGCACGCCGATCGAAATAGCCGACTTTCTTTGCGAAGGGATTGCAGTCGTGGCGAATTGATGGAATGGATAAAGAACAATACGAACTATGTATATCGTTGGAAAGTGTGTAGGCTAACAGGTTTGGATGTATGAATGCAAATTACTCGTCCACTATACGTGGCACAGAAATGTAATTAAGATAAGAGGTGAATCATTATGAGGGAGTCGCTTTTCAATGGGTGGACATGATGTGGAGACTGTATGAAAGTGACTGCACTAAACAATGTAGATTGATATACTTCGCGAAACGGTTCTGTTTGTGGTGAGTAATTGTTGGTTGCGGAGGATATTTTAATTGTACCGTTGTTGACAAATATTACTCGAGAATGATCACTGTTCGTTCCATTTTCTACGAACTTACATGCAAGAAAATGCAGAAGAGGTGCTTCTACGTCCCAAGTCGTATCGTCTCGTCGAGTACATTTAATGAATCCTAATTGCCACGCGTGCTCCTTCTCCTTCGTGCGCCGTGGGATCGTACCTAATTGATCGCGCATTGCGTCGCGGTTGTAAGCAACATGTAGTAGTTACGATGAAAAACTGGTCTAATTTATGGAGACCACGAATATGCAGTGTTAAATTAATTGTCCGCCTAATAGTTCTATAATTATATACGCAGATGTTGTAAATCGTTAATTAACAGCCTCCGGTTCGTATACCGGGACAGGTAAAACGCGTGAACAACCTGCCTCATTTTTTCGACGTGATTTGTTAAACGGAACGACGCAAAAATTTCTCGGGAAAATGCTTGCTACGTTAATAGCGCGATACTTGGAACGCGTGGCGTATATTTTCACGAAACTGGCACTTGTAATCCCAAAGATCTAACAGATGAAGTTGACAACTCCCTTTCCGGACGTCTTGCAATGTAAACTTTAGTTAATACCACGCGCAAACTTGAGAACATGCTTGCTTGAGCGCCATCAACTTCTCAACGATTCTCTCTACAATCTTGATAAGGGCCCTGTTAAAGCATAACACTATGCCGGGACTGCGGACTTCCGGAATACATCTCCCTACGTTCGGTGGCCCAGACATTTTAGCCGTCTAGAAAAGTCGCGGTGCTCCATTTAATAGACTCTCTCGAGGGCTTGGACCACAATTCGCAGACTTTTAAAGCCATCAATTCCCTCCAACTTCCATTTTCTACGGAGCCGCGATTTTCTTAACTCTCAGACACCCCTCAGAGCCAGGACAATACTTCCCATTTCTGTTTCACATTTTCAATTAACGAATCCTCTGCTCCGCTTAGAATTTCTTATCTCGATGAAATACGAATCTAGCATTCATATTCTTCTTTGTAAACTCTTATAAAGAATTGTTAGCTTTATATAATTTACCTTTATAAACTAATATCAAACAGCTGTTTTTTTATGCACCGCAAAGCAGTTCTGATTTTATCTGGATACAATTGCTATTGTTTTACTGTTGAACCCCATGAACAGCAATTAGGATGTTCTGTTGGGAGCTAAAAAAAGAATGGCCTCTACTAACAATCTAAACAACGTAAGGAGCAAGGGGAAGTCGCCCGCTCCACGCCTAATCGCGTCTTCTGTCCAGCCTGTAACTTGGCCAATAATAACTCAGAATCTGGAAAGTAGGTGAGATTCGGCGAAGCGGGCGATCGATTCCCCTTGTCCCTCGTATCGTTTAGTATGTGGGCAGAGGCACAATTCTATCTCGCTCCCGATAGTACTATGAACTTTTGATTGGTTCGTCGGTATTAATATAAAGTGTTTAACGAATGGTTTTAGCTACGACGGTCGCGGTGGACGACAGTTCGACAGCACCCGCCTTTGGTCATCGCCGACGGCGCTTGGGAAAAGAGCTTTCTTTGTCACAGAATCGAATCCTGCTCACCTCACTATCGATCGATTGCAGCTTAACGATGAAGGAATCTATTCGTGCCGAGTGGACTTCAAGAATTCGCCCACCAGGAAGCAAAAGATTAATCTGACTGTTATAGGTGAGACCGTGAATCTATTATTCATGATGCCAATGAATTATATTCAACATTTTTATCAATCCGAAGTCGGCGCATAAATAACGACGTTTAAATTTACATTTCGCACAAACGGGAGTTAATAAAAAATGAATTTCGCCCAGGAAGAGTACCGCCGAATGGAAAATAATTTCGCCCCCTTTGTGAGAGCACGAGCGCTTCACACGCCGTGTTAATATTACGTGAATTATATTCGAAAAGAAGCGAATTAAAGCTAATGCTTTCGGTCTGCATGGCGCGGCGGCGTTGAAGCCGCGAGAGCGTGATCGAAAATCAAATTTCCAAGTTGATCTATCAAATTTTTATCATGGATCAAGCCGGAAATTGCATTTCTCAATTCTGAGTGCTTCTGCTGGGAAAGAAACTTCTTTTTAGATTGAGTAATGCTTCGACGCTATTAGCACGTGTATTATTAACTTAGAAAATTGAAGAGCCCGCGCGGAGCAAAAATGAACGTCAACGTCGTAAATTATGACTGGTTGTTATGTAACGGCGAACTTTCATCGAAACTCTAGCCTTACTCGTTCTCATTACTCTATCTCGTAAATCTCAAGCTTACTCAATAAATATATCAGTTTAACCTAATATGAATTACAGCATTAGCTCGAAGAAAACCCTTACGAAGCTCGCAAAGTTTGTTTATAAGTCGATGCGCATTTTACCGAATAATTTACTACGTCTCTACAACTTCCTTAATCTATGGTAACTTTCTGAATCCTTGAGCGTACACTCGGTAGCAAAAGTTTACAAACACCTGCCAAATATGAACAACAAAAGAGAAATAGGGATTGCGCATTTATCGCGGAGAGCGACGAATTTCATCGTTGGAACTGGACAAATTGTGAGAAATATGTTTCACATTGGCTCACATAAGAACAAAAACTAAATTCAATCAAAATCACAGCGGAGAAATACAGTTCGCTATCGCTACTCTATTAACTCTAGCATGCTTAAGGAAAACTCCAAAAATGTCCTCAACGATGCAACAATTTTCTTCCACAAAGTTATATCTAATTTTTGCATCAGTAGATACCTAAATGTATTAGTTAACAGCTTTGCACAAATGAATTTACGTTGAACAGAGAAAAAATAATATTTATAGAATTTCATGGGTACAAAATAGTTAATCCTTGTTATACCTTAAGCGTCCTAGACTCGACAAACTGTATTCATTGTGATATATTCGTAATAGCACTCACGCAATTTGTTAACGCTTCTTTTTATCGCGTTCTTGTAAAAGTATACAATATCCATAATAAAAGATGCTTTTTGCGTGCGCGTGTCTAATGTCTTGCAAGAGATTGTAGGTACATTTCCGTGTTAAATACAGTTTGCGATCCGAACAGCGCGGGACGACGCTGTCGAACGAAACCGGCGTAAAAGCTAATGAAAGCTTGCAGTACAGGGAATAAAATATCAACGCACAAATTTCGGGAGCGTACCGTGCATTTGCTGCCGGAACGGTGGTGGCCCCGGCGTTTTCTTGTAACCACGGTGTAACATAGAAAAACAATTTCGCGCGTATCACCCTAAATCCGTCATCGTTTTTCAGTGTTATCTGGCGGTCCGGTCGCGCGGAACGGCGGAATCGTTGCCGCGTGCTGAAAAGAGTATTCAACTCCTGGTAAATCATTCACACCGGCGGAATTCAATTGGCTCTAATCAATCTTTCACGTGTAAATCACGGGATCGCTAGTCGCGCGCATAGATCACCCTATTCTCGTCCGGCGGACAAATAATCAATCCGCATTTCCGCTGATTCAATCATGCATGCTGTTCGCGCAGTGCCTCCGACGACGCCGGTGATACGGGACCCGACCACGAGGAATATCTCAAGGATAGAGGAGCTCTACAACGAGGGAAGTGACGTGAACCTGATTTGCGAGGTACAAGGTGGCAGGCCGCCCCCGAAGCTGACGTGGTACCTCGAGAACAACGTGATAGACGAGTCCTACGACAACCTCCAGTCAGGGTTGACGGTTAACCGCTTGTCTTACCCTAAAGTTGGCCGGCAACACCTCAAGGATCGGTTGATCTGTAAAGCCAGCAACACTAACTTGGTCACGCCGCAGACGAGACTGGTCATCCTGAACATGAACCGTAAGTGTCCACCACTTTTTCAAATGCCCACTCTGCCTCGCGAAATGTTTACAGTGCGTAAACACACGCCACGAGAGGTACCGTCCACGACGCTTATCTTTTTTTATTTATTTATCAACTCTTTGCACTCGAAGCTATTTCAACTAAAAATATAAAATCATTTTCCTAACTTATAGTATTTCTATTTTATATGACAAAAACCATTTTATGCACATGAAATTGACTCTTGGGACTCGCAAGAAACAGTTACACTCTTAACAATTTTGTCAAATCTAAACTTTGTTAATATCAAAATTATCTTAAAACGTGATCCAACGAATTTTAGCGGTGCTTCAGAGTCACCACTCGAGTGCAAAGGGTTAAGCTGTGAAACCCCCTACAGGTTTATTAGCAATATATTTTGTAATATATGATTACAAAATTGCTATTACATATACAATATAAGAAGATAAGTAAAGAGAATCATGTGCAATAAATAAATAAAATATATGTTATTACAAACTACAATGAATGTTCGATTATAATACAAAACAAGAACACCAAATTTACTATTACAAACAATCGAAACCATCAACACTTTTTTGAATAGCACGATGTCTGAATATTAATGCGAGTCACTGTGTGCTCCCTTACGCTTCTCACGTTTCTATTTCGATCGATCACCGTTAAACGTCGGTGAATAATAGTAATCTTGATACGTGAAAATCGTGAGAATATGAAAAGTTCAACGGTCACATAGCAAACTACGCGCGGAAAAATCATGACATCGGTGACGCAAAATAGAAAGCATTCCGGGAACACAGAGTGTTTCTCGTGATCGGTGACGGAGTTTCGCAACAAAATTATGCAGAAACCAGTTGCTCTCGTCTCGGATTAGCGTACAGGTCACATTCTAAGCGAGGCTTACGCGCATGACTCGCGACAGACAGTTTGATTTTGTATGGTTTCGAGCCGTAAGTATGCGTTGCATCGGCAAAGACCTGTTAAGAGAGCTCGAGCGCCGGGAATTTATGTCTGACCGGTGGTTCTCGCGCGTGTTCCCATGACACAGTAAAACTTACATGCGACGAGAAAATAATTTCCGTCTGTCTATTAATGCGAGTGATTATTCCCGTGATATGCATTTATGGGTTGAATTTCCGTTAGCAATGAATCGCGGAAAAGGTGGGTAATTAAAAGTAACGGAGATCTTTCTGTTGCTGAGGAAATCGAGGCTTTCATCTCACATTAACAAATTTACGCCAAATCAGAGAAATGATCGATAAATTACAGAAGTGGTAAATAAATTACATAACTGCTTAAAATTCCATTTTATTTCCACGTAAGTGACACAATTTTTATGGCCGTAGACAGTCAGTATAGAGTGTTCAATTTCAATCGCGCAGTGTGCAAACTTTAACGTCTTGTTGGAGAAAACTGATTGATCCGAGCACCGCCTAATTCGTATGGTGAATTTTCACCTGTAAGCTAATGACTTCCGAACTTAAGTAGGGTAATACTTTTTTCACGAAGAATAACAAGCCGTATACATAAATTATTTCGCGAAAAATTGTGCGGTCTCGTTTTTAAACATTCGTGTCAGAACTTCGTTTTAAAAATGCTTGACGGTTTCAATATAAACGTAAAAACAAAATAACCTTGAAATATCTTGTACCGAAATAATTTATAGGGGTTGATATTGTTACGGCGACTTGTCCAAATCAAGTCGCTGTAATGTGAAACTGCCCTGTTGTGAACAACTCCTTAAAGAATAATAGAAGATAGGGGTTGCCACGGAAGAGTGTTACCAACGGACAATCGAAGAGTCGAGATCGGACCGTCGAACGAGCAACATTTCAAATTGAAAGATCTAAGATATAATTGTATCGAGTTGTGTTATAGTTAATATTCTTTATTGTAAATAAAATGCCGGGACGCGAGAGAAATGGAGTAATTCGCAACTATATATTGTAATTCTGCCATAAAAAGCTTTTCCCGTGCGATTATAAATAACAGACATATTTGAATGTTTCCATTTAAGTGCTTGGCCCTGTGTAATCACTACACCAAGTGACATATCCGGCGCAATAATTGAAACGGATTACATGAATCCATCAGGCTGGCTTGCCTATAAGCTGGACATTTAATGTCGTTTAGGGTTGGATAGCAACCCATGAAGTACCCCAGGCATTAGCCTATACCCCTAATTTGGAAATTGGGCCACTTTAGAATTGCATCGTCACTTTTCAGTGAGCAAGTATCCTGTAGAGAATATTAATATTAATGCACTCATTGTATGTGTACAAGCTTGTAAAAATTACTAGGAACTTCCTTTAGAGTAATCGAAAGTTTGTTGAAATTATGAATTTTTTTCTAGAATAATGCTAAGATAATCTGAAATCTGTTACTGAACCGATGTACTGCGAGTTGGATTCATAAAATAGGTAGAATTAATCCGAATGTGCTCTTGTCATCGAAGAAGTTAAAACTAGAGGACTACTCGTTTGAGACACACTGAACATAGCACAGATCTTGATAGCGTTATATCCGCATTTGTTTTATACAGCCTATTGTTGCTAGAGGCAATCGGTCAGTCTTTTTTTACAAATATTGCAAGGGCGTGCAAGAAAGTATCCGTCAAAGTCGAACATATCACATGCTCCATGAAAGTTACTAAGAATTCCCGCTATTTTCTCTTAACCCTCTATGGGCCGAATTTTTTTCTTAAATATAAAAAGATTTATGCAACGGAAAATCTATTATTATAAACCTATGTATGCTAATTAAAAATATATTTAACAGTTTAAACAACTTTATTATAATTAATTCGATTTGTAACTTTGAAGTAACAACGGCTTACAATGTTT